GCAACCCGCAGTTTGAAAACCACTGCCATAGAGAGTCAGTCAGTGACTGACTGAGAATAGATTCCAGGAGTCCTGACTCCTAGACAAAATTACATGCCACCCAACAGGTAATTCATAGTTTTCATTTTCAATCCATCCATTTGTTTGTGATTCCTGTTTTGCAGTTCAGCAGGAAAATGCAAATGCTCATTTATCTAAATAAACAGGCAAACAAATCCTTATTTAGTAATGCCAACCTAAAACTCCTTCCCCAGTAGGAGTGAGACTGAATGGGACAAATTTCTTTGTGACATGTAATCATCAAGATACGGACACACCTTGTTGTCCTAGTCACATAGTATGTTTTCATAACATAACTTTAATGAGAAACTACTGACCTTCTGCTCCACTGAGCATGGTGTTCTTTCATACAAATGAATGTAAATGGTTGTGATAGGTCTGTAACAGCTAAATCAAATGCCGGCGCTGAATCCAAACTGCAAATGATTATCATCTGAACATTCCCACGCCTTGGTGATTTGAAATCCAAATCAAAGCCTTGCTAAATTTTAGGGTGTTGGCATGCAGTGTTCAGATTTGGTTCGTTAGTATGCAGGCATCATAGGAACTCCTGTAGTTTAAAATAGTGAGATTTACTTCTAAAGCAGGGGCTAATACTTTGATGAGTGTGAATGATAGTGTGTATCTGCCCCTTTTTAGTACAGAATGATTTTTTCTGAAAATTGACAAGTAGTACTGTTAATTCCCTTATGCATTTTTATAAACTTTCAAAGTGACCCTTTCTGACATTTTTTGGTGAGTCTAATTTTTTTTTTCTGATCACTCTAGGAGATAAATTCCTAATGTTTGAGCTTTGATAATTAGCTCACTTGTAGACTGGAAAATGCTACTTTAAATTTGCTAATCTGAAACTTTTAAACAGCTTCGTCATAAACATCTCTATGTATGTGAGTATTTGTTACCGAATTGGTTTATCATCCAAAATTTTAGTTGACAAAATGACTTCCAAATATTCAGATAATGAGTCATCTATACTCTATAGGATGTTTAGGCTCTATAATGTGCCTGATCTTCAGTTTGTGTAAATCAAAGTGAATGGAGCTATGCCAGTTTGCACCAGCTGAGGATCTGAGGGACTGCAGGATCCAAAGAGCTCACACTGTCTATTGATACTACCGAGTGTAAATAGGGTCTGGAGTTAGGATGTGGAGGCATTGATTTGGGTCTATGCCTGTCCTTAGCGTTATAATATCACAAGGTGAGGCTGAGGTTTTTCTGGCACCCCAGAGCTGGAGAGCTATAACATAGATTAATGTGTATGGTATCTAATCAATTATTCATCACAAACCATTGGGTATTTTCATATGTGTGTGTGTGTATATATATATTTGTGTGGGTGGTGCCAGTGATTGAACCATATATATATATGGTTCAATCACTGGCACCACCCACACAACCATATATATATAGCCTAGCCTCTCCTGTATGGTTTAGTCACTGGCACCGCCCGCACATACACTCAAGCCAAAACCCAGAAACCTAATAAATGCCACCCAAAGTCAACAGCTGGTGATGTCAGCAGGGCTCCGCAGGTACTGAAGGTGGCACCCCATGTTGCTGCCTTTCCTAGATCACTCCCTGGGAGGAGGCCCCAGTATCCAACATGCTTGACACCAGTTAAAATGTTCTCTGCCTCCTAGGGAGAGCTGGGCCTTGCATAGGCTGCTCCTGGGAGTGGGAAAGCTACTGCCTCAGTTGGTTGGGAGTAGACATGGTGTGGGAATCCTCTGTGGAATTGGGCATCAGGAGGGACTTCTCTGGCTGGTTCCCCCTGTCTCCAGCTGCTCCATCACTGCTGCTGACTGCCTGCTGAGGAGATTTGGGGAGTTTCATAGTCCACTCCCAGGGGAGGTTCCAGCCCCATGTGCTCAGGGTTGGCCATTCTGCTTCCTCATAGTTCTGTCTCTCTTTCCTCTTTTTCCACCCCTGCCCCATGTGAAGGGGCAGATAGGATCTTTGGACAAGACCCCTGGCCTTGCTGCTTCACTGCATTCCTTAATCAGGCAAGTTACTGTACTTGCTGACTAACCTGAGGCACTCCCTTCCTTCATTTGCATGTGTTGAGCCCACTATCTCCTCAGACTTTACCTTTATTGATTATTAATTATGCTAAATAATGACAATTTAAAAAAAATATGAGATTGATTCTGGAAGGGTTTATTTTCAATGAATTTTGCTGGCCTGGTTGATGTAGAAATGTAGATCCTGAATATGCCAGGAGAAGCATTCTGTGACGGAGGTGACTTTGGAGATGTGGTAGTGTCAGGCAGTATAGTGGTTTGTCATAGTTTGGCTCAAAAGCCCACTGATGTTTCAGGCAATGCGTCATGTTTCAGGCTGGAGCAATCAATCTTACATTTCCCTTTCTCTAAGTCCTTGGAATTATTGGCCTAGTATTGAAGCTATCTCTTATTTTAGTGGTCCATGACAGCCATGATGTTAGTTTTTCTATGTAGGTTCTGATATGGCTCCCCTCCCCTCCCCGCATGGTGTCTGAATATTTTTCATGGTATTTGAGTCACAATCAATGGTATCTACTATTTTATACCATAAAAACAACGAGGAGTCCGGTGCCACCAGATTCCTCGTTGTTTTTGTGGATACAGACTAACACGGCTACCCCTCTGATATTTTATACCATGTCTACCATGAACTGATGGTTTTGGCAAATGAAGCCAACCTCCAGATGATGAGGAAAAAAGAGCACAACTGCTCTGAAATTGAATTTTAAATTGTAAATATTTATGTTTTGTCACCAAGCCTGGGACATGTATTTCTTTAGAAATGTTTAGTATAGTAATTAGATTTTTTTTTTATGGACAGAACTATGATTTAGGAATGTTCTTACTATTTTTTAAGGAAATCATTACACATATAATGAACTGTGATAAGATGTTCATTATTTTATTTTTGACTTCTATTTCTACATAGTCCTGGTGAGTAAATTAATTTTAAAAAAGCTGTCACCCTTTTGTGGATTTGTCAAAAAAGAGAAACTATACAACACTGGGCCACAATCCATTCGTTTAAATTTAATTGAAATAAAATAAAACTACATTCAGTATACTTTTCTAATCGTATTTTTCCATGTAAACAGATGCTCTAGTTACAGAGAGGTTATGAGATCGCTACTGGGTGAGGAAAGCAGAGATACAATTGCAAAGAGGAAGGGAGATAGTACATGAAGTAAATTCTCTCTGAAGAGATGGTTCACACACTATGGAAAATTTGGGACCTCATTTTCTGTCAACTGAGGCCAGTGACAGAACTCTCATAGAATGAAATGGGAGCAGGATTGGAGGTTGTCTTATGAAGTTGCAACATCCTGTGGAATTCATTCCAATATTACCTAAAGCACTTTGCCCTATGACGTATTTTTATCATTCTGGATGTATACATTTAGGTGTGTCAGTTTAAAATGGTCATTTGATTATTGTAAACTAACTTTTCTTTGAAATTAATAAACACCTTTTCCCTCCCCCCTTATATTAGTGACTATCACATGAGTTCCACAAGGATAATGGATACTAAATTGCGAGAGGCTGAAGGATGCGGTGAGGACAATTCAGGTAGAGTGCCTACTTTCCGTGTGTATATGAAAAGTATTCATTTACTGTTAAGAATTCTTGAGTTTCAGTACCATTTGGGCTTCTCACAGTAGTGATTCTATTTATTTAGGGAATGTGCTCACGGTCTCTCTCTGAGTTATAATTTTGGGACATTTTCAGATGCTTAAATTAAAACACTTTCTTAGAGTGAAATTCAGATGTGGTGTAAGAGGTATAATTCTTTTCACTTCAGTGGACTTGCAGCATGTCTGATTTTTGGCCCTTTATCTCTGGTGACTTTGTTATAATCTCTGCTGTTCAAAATGTGTGCCCGTTCTGTATTAGTTTGCATGATGTCCCTGAAAGACACTGCTGCAAGTGTTTGGGTTTTTGTTGTTGTTAGAGTGCTTTGGGTAAAATGCTAATTTTTATCATGAGAAAATTACAATTATCCCTATTTAAGCTCCTGCCCCTCTGAGCAGCACAGCATCACATTTTTCCTTGATTCCTATTTTAATATTCTGAGAACCAATGAATTACATAATTACCATTTAAAATATTTTGTATTTGTTATAAAACTGATATTATTAAAAGCATTAGCCTCCTGACACTGCATTTTCCGCCTAAATGTGACATTTTTGCATTTAAATTAGTTTTGCCATTTGGAAATAAGACTGTCCAGATCTTAACCGTTTAGTTTGCTAAACTACAACATCGAGTTTCCAAACTGTAATTTCATCTCTGCATCCCAGTCAGTTAACACAGTGGTTTTTCTTCATGGTCTAATTCTATTAAAACTTATCTGAAAAGGCAGGTAGAAACAGTATTAGAAAAGATCCTATTTCCTGTATTATAGGTTATTTCTAACATGCCATAGGCATCACAAAGCATTTCGCCAGATAATAATAATAATAATTAATAATTAATAATACCTTGCAATCAATTTAGACTTGAGACCTGTTAATACAAAAAAAAAAAACCAACAACAACCCATAGTGGGCCAGGTTGCTTCTTCCAAGAAAAATTTCTTATGAAAAAATCCAATGGAATTTCATAGAGAATTATGACTTTTTTCTTATAATTTTAAAACCTATCATACAGACTCTCCTTAATATTTCTTTATTTAGGAAAGAAAAAGTCAAAGTTCAAATCTTTCAAAAAGTTCTTTGGGAAAAGGAAAAGGAAAGAGACCTTACCATCTTCAGGGAGCATCACTCTGAAACCATGCCAGTCAGCTAGTGATGTCACAGTCCCAGAGTCCATGCACATTGACTATGATTCTGAAGATGAACTTGAGTAAGTCTTACTTTTATTCACAAACAATGAATTGCTTTTCCAAAAGACAGAATGATGTTTATGGATTAAATATCCAAGTGCTTACCTCCAACTGTTACTCAAAAAGCCACACATTCTCAGGCACCTCACTTTCTTTAGGAAAATACTGATTGTAATGGGGAAATGGCAAGTAAATGTGATCTAGGTGCAACAGTTACTAATATCTCATCTGAGGAGAAATAAACTTCATTATAAAGTTTTCAAAAGTGCCTAGGTCCCATTTTCAAAACTGACTGTCAGGAATGTAGGTACCTCAATCTCAATGAAAGTCAATGGAATTTCAGCTCCTCTGGAACAGATTTTCAAAGGTATTTGTAAAAAGAACAGGAGTACTTGTGGCACCTTAGAGACTAACAAATTTATTAGAGCATAAGCTTTCGTGGGCTACTGCCCACTTAGAGAGGCACCTAGTGGATTTTTCAAAAGTGTCTAAACTGGTTAGGCATCTAAATGCCATTGAAACTAATGAGAGCTAGGTGCCTAATATGCCTAGGTACTTCTGAAAATCTCACTAGAGCTTCTTTCTGCATCTTTAGGAATGTAAATGTTGTTGAAAATCTGACCCAAAGTCTGTTTTGAAAAAGGGACATAGACTCCTAAATCACTTAGGCGCTTTTGAAAAGTTTCCCCTAATTTTTAATCTGCAACATGTAAACCATATGATGCATATGGTATAAAATTAAAACATTTGATTTAATATACAGACAGAGGGAAAGGCCCTTTATTCATTGCAATGCACTGCCTTGAGTAGGTTTGGCTGCTCAGAAAGAAAGTTTTTGTTTTAATGGACAGTATTTCCTCGTGAACAAAATTCTGGTTATTCCAGAGATTACATACCAGAAGAAAAGAGATGCTATTTTTGCAAGTGTGGATAGGTGCTGGAGATCAAACCTTCCAAAATGTACTGTCCATTAAGGTGACATTAGACAGTATTGCCACTAGGCAGCGCCACACAACCAAATAATCTTTTAATAAAATAATTCACATTTTGTAGTATTGGCAGTAGTAACATTACTCCTGCTTCGTCTTTAATGTGAAGGTCTGGGTGTTACCCCAGAGTATCTAAACTGGCAGCAATAGGTACAGCAGAGTTGTTGCATTCTTGCTCAACAAAAATCCTTAAGAACAGTAATGGTCAGACCTTCCCTACATGCTCTGTAACTCAGCCTTATCATGTTGCAGTGTGTGTATAGCCCTCTGACCTTGTTCACATGCTCTGTTTTTGTTAAATTGTTGTTTTTATATAAAAACAAAGGCAATAAAATACTCTGAAAGAAAGGAAAATGAATTTTCTCTCAAACAATTTTTTGGGACATTTATAAACCTCCAGCGCCCATCTAGAAGGTTTACATGTCCAGAAAGAAGATGGAGCAATTAGAAAACAAGGATACATGTGCTCATACAACGTGCTTCTCTAGTTGTTGTTTTAGGGTACATCTACACTACAGCGGGGAGTCGGTTTAAGATACGCAAATTCAGCAACGTGAATAGCGTGGATGCATTCGACGTATTACAGCCGACGTCCCC